TTCGCCCAGCAGGTCAAGTACTTGGCTGCACTTAGGAGGGTAGCTAAAAATCAAATGCTTAGCTGCCTTGCTAGGAAACCCAATAAACCCCAAAAAGGCTAAGGATCTAAAGTTACAGTAACCACAAAGAGTAGTAAGTAGACTTCAAGGTTACCCGTCACTTGCTGCTTGTGGCTTCATGGAGCTGCGAAACCCTCACTGCAGCCCTCAAAGCCCAACCCCCAAACCCCCTTCAGTTCCGCCCTAAACTGCCCCTAAAGCTCCCTTTCTTGGCCCTCTAAACCCTAAACCCAAAACCCAAAACCCAAACCCCAAACCCTAAACCCTAAACTCTAAACCCTAAACCCCCCCCAAAGTCACCCCAAGCACTCTTTGAGGCCCCTATGAATCCTGTCGCAGCTGCGCCATGCGTGTGGCGGCCCACAGGTCCGCCTGGCATGGGTTTAGGGTTGAGGGTTTAGGGCTTAGGGCTTAGGGTTTAGGGTTTAGGTTTTAGGGTTTAGGGTTAGGGTTTAGGGGCATCTGAGTCTGACTGCTTCGTAGAGTTTAAGGGTAGGGTGCCTGGCTGGGGTAGGGTTTGGGGTTTGGGGTTTGGGGTTTGGGGTTTGGGGTTTGGGGTTTGGGGTTTGGGGTTTGGGGTTTGGGGTTTGGGGTTTGGGGTTTGGGGTTTGGGGTTTGGGGTTTGGGGTTTGGGGTTTGGGGTTTGGGGTTTGGGGTGTGGGGTTTGGGGTTTGGGGTTGGGGGTTTGGGGTTTGGGGTTTGGGGTTTGGGGTTTGGGGTTTGGGGTTTGGGGTTTGGGGTTTGGGGTTTTTGTGCCTCTTTCTTGCGACGCTCTTCTGCCGCCCACTGCGCCCGAAGATGATTCTGCCGCTCCTGCCCAGCAGCAACTCGAGGGACGACTGTTGTCTCTAAGTGTGCGAAGGACGACTAGTTGATGAAGAAACCTAAAAGTGATAATGATCGATCCCTATATGACCCTTATAAGGAAGAATATCTTTTATTTCTGGCGGGGGGTTCTCAAGCAAATAGTAGAGGAAGTAAGTGAGCCGACATGGACGTGCCATCAGGATCCTTTTGTAGGAGCTCTTGGGATTCAAGAGCCTGTTACTTATCCTTGGCGAACCAAAAGCAAGGGTTAACCGATATGGAGTTCGGAGTTTAGGATGTTTAGGGTTGTTCCATTTTGAACGGTAAACTTAAACCCCCACACTCTAAACACGAATTACAAAACACTTTGTTGAACCACTTACAATGTTACAAAACCCTAAACCTAAACCCTAAACCCTGAACCCTACAGGTCCCTAACCCTAAGCCCTAAACCCTACACCCGAAACCCCAGGCGTAAACCCTAACTCTAAGCAAACCTGCTATTACCTGGTGGGCTTCCGGCTCCTCCTGCTGGCGCCGCTGCTCTTCCTGGCGGCGGCGTTGCTCTTCTTCCTCATAGGACTTCGCGCTGGGCATGGAGAATGGGATTGGGGTTTAGGGTTTGGGGTTTAGGGTTTAGGGTTTAGGGTTTAGGGTTTTAGGGTTTAGGGGCTTAGGGGTTTAGGGTGCCCTATTTTGCTCCTAGATCCTCCTTTGCCTCCAAAGTCAGCGAAGTACAATCAAAACTAAGTTTAGGCTTAAGGGTTCAAAACAAAGAGAAGAATGGTACCACCGAGCCTCGGGGGGACCTAGTTGGCCTGCAACCGCCTAGCGAAACTCCTGAGCTCAAAACCCCCAAGCCCCCAAACCGAGAAGACCCCTTCAAAATAAACCCCCAAACCCCAAATACGCAAATCCTACACCCAAGGCCGCAAGCCCTCTAACCCCACAAGCCCCCAACCCGAAACCCCAAACCACTCACCTTAACCCCCAAACCCCCACCAAACCCCAAACCCTAAACCCCCCAAACCCTAAAGCCCCTCAACCCTAAACCCTAAACGCTAAACCCTAAACCCTAAACCCTAATTAAACCCTAAATCCCCCAAACCCTAAGCCCTAAGCCCTAAGCCCTAAGCCCTAAACCCTAAACCCGAAACCCCCCCAAAACCCTAAACCCCCCGCCTGCTGCGTGCGCGCAGCCCTGAGCTCCTCCTCGCGGCGTCGCTGGAGCTCAGCCAGCTGCTGCTGCCGGGCCTTTAGGGTTTAGGGTTTAGGGTTTAGGGTTTAGGGTTTAGGGTTTAGGGTTTAGGGTTTAGGGTTTAGGGTTTAGGGTTTAGGGTTTAGGGTTTAGGGTTTAGGGTTCAATTTAGGGTTTAGGGTTTAGGGTTTAGGGGTTTAGGGGTTTCGGGGTTTAGGGGTTTAGGGGTTTAGGGGTTTAGGGGTTTAGGGGTTTAGGGGTTTAGGGGTTTAGGGGTTTAGGGGTTTAGGGGTTTAGGGTTTTCGGGTTTTCGGGGTTTAGGGTTTAGGGTTGAGGGGTTGAGGGGTTGAGGGGTTAGGGGCTTAGGGGTTTAGGGGTTCACGGGTTTAGGGTTTATAGGTTGGGAAGTTCGCCCTTATACTAATAGTCCTTCATGGGGATTATTAATGGGTACGGAAATCCCTACTAAGGACTGGTAGTACTTGGAGGTTCATAATACTTATTCACCAATTACAACTGTACTTATAACCCACTTGTAAGCCCCGCAAGTGCCCCAATGTGGTTATAAGTCCAGTTATAAGTACAGTTATAGTTGGTTAATAGGTGCCCTGAACCTTCAAGTAGAAAGGGGGGGGTATCCCAACGTATGGGCCTGGTAGCTATTATACTAAGGGCACCTTTTGTTTCGGTTGGTTACTGTATAAGGAACCCATAACCCAAAATAACTAAAACAGGAGGATTCAAGATTTAGCTGCATTTTTAAAGAACCCCCAAAAAATAAGAGAACATGGCGCCTATATTACCCTCATAAGGATGAATACGCATATTCAGGGTGGTTCTTAAGTCTAGGATTTAGGGTTGAGTTTTTGGGCTTTGGCTGAAAGTTCGTAACCTACCAACAGCACAAACTCTCCATGCCCTCCAAACCTGCTGCGCTCCAACTTGAACCCAAAACCCTAAGACTCCCAACCCTAAACCCTAACCCTAAACCCTAAACCCTAAACCCTAAACCCTAAACCCTAAACCCTAAACCCTAAACCCTAAACCCTAAACCTACAACTCCACGTATACAAACCCGAAGGCTCAGAAATCTTAAGTCCTAGAACCCCGGCCCAGCCCCAAAATGAAAATATTCTAATTCGAACATCCCCACCCTCTCTGGTCTGGAGTTGGACACTCCAGGGACACTCTGTCCAGGGACACTCTGGGGTTGGGCACTGCAGGGACACACTGGGGTTGGGCACCAGGGACACTTTAGGGTTGGGCACTCAAGGGATGAGCGAGGAGTAGACCGGGCGAGGAGAAGAGTTGAGTGTAAAATCTAACAACCCCACACCGAGGGTGGGGAACAACCCAAGCCCCCAAACCCCAAAACCCAAAACCCAAAAGTTTAGGGGTAGAGGGCTTAGATCTTGTGGTCGAGAGCAGAATTACACCCTAAACCCTAAACCCTAACCCTAAACCCTAAACCCCAAACCCCAAACCCTAAACTCTAAACCCTTCAGGCCTGCACGACCGAAGCATCCTCGCGTTCGGCTCGAGCCACGCCTTTGCGGTCTCATCCCTAGAACCGGGTTAGGGTTTAGGGTTTAGGGTTTAGGGTTTAGGGTTTAGGGTTTAGGGTTTAGGGTTTAGGGTTTAGGGTTTAGGGTTTAGGGTTTAGGGTTTAGGGTTTAGGGTTTAGGGTTTAGGGTTTAGGGTTTAGGGTTTAGGGTTTAGGGTTTGGTTTAGGGTTGAGGGTTGAGGGTTTAGGGTTTAGGGTTTTAGGGTTTAGGGTTTAGGGTTTAGGGTTTAGGGTTTAGGGTTTAGGGTTTAGGGTTTAGGGTTTAGGGTTTAGGGTTTAGGGTTTAGGGTTAGACCCTTTTGAACCCAGACTCGGACCAAGTTTGCTGGGACTCCTGCCAAGGCAACCCCCCGAACTCGGAGAAGACCCGAGAAGCCGAAACCCCAAACCTGGCCCTCGCCCTGCCCTCTGACATGGCACATTCCCATGAGAACCCTAAACCCTAAACCCCAAACCCTAAACGTAAACCAGCAATGAAAAAGGTGTAGGTGTTCATCCTTGAGGTGACGTTAAAGCTTTGGAGAGTCTGAAGCTTCGGGGCGTAGTCGTTATAAAACTTAGCTTCCCCAGCACAACGCTGCTGAGCAGGAGATGCCAAAAATTGCAATTTCTTGGGGGCACTATGAGACGCGTAGTAACTGCGAGGAAGCCCTTCAACCCTAAACCCTAAACCCTAAACCCTAAACCCGAAACCCTAAACCCTAAACCCTAAACCCTAAACCCTTCCATGGGCGGGCCCAAGGCGCAGCTGAGATCCCGAGGGGTGTCACACATCTCGCACACGGACAGGGCCACATCGTTGTCCCAGTCGCAGTCAAAGCACGTCCATGTCCCCGGCAAGGCCATGTTTCCACAAAGGGGGGGGGGGGGGATGGGTTGGGGTGGGTGTAGGGGTTAGGGGTGAGGGGTGAGGGCTGAGGAGTGAGGGGCTAGGGGTTAGAGGTTAGGCTAAGGGGTTAGGGTTGAGGGTTGAGGGTTTGAGGGTTGAGGGTTTAGTGGGGGGTGGGAGGCTTCGCGAACCCTTAAGGCCCTGAGCCTGGAGGCTTACACATCACGGTTAAGGCTTATATGGTAAGAGAGATAGCAGCTGGCTGGGAAGCCCTCCACACAGACTTCGTACGGGCTGAGAAATTCTGGACAAGAGGGGGGGGGTCTGTTTCTGAGCCATACAGCGGAGGCGTGACCATAGATGCGTCAGAAATTCTCACGGGCTTCGCCCACAGAGTTTCCGAAAGCACCAAGCAGACCACAAGGCCAACACTGGAAGGCCGTAATAATTAGAATAGGCTTTTGGGGGTTACTATAGCATAATTCTATAAGGGACCATAAGGATTACTAGCTGCAGAGATGGCCGATGCGACATGGCATCGCCTCCAGCCGCCCCCGTGCCCTCGGTGCGGCGGTGACGGCGGCGCTTTGCCACGGAAGCGTTGGCCTTTGCATTGGCCCCGCAAGCACAGCAAAAGAAGCTTGGTTGCCCGGTAATCCATAATATGAAGAAAAAAAAGAAGGGTCTTCCATGTTGCCTTGCAAAGAAACTAGAGCATGGTCCGGCTGCCTAACATCCCTTGCTTTAGGGCAACTAAAGTGCAAGGTTCAACCCTTAAACCCTAAACCCTAAACCCTAAACCCTAAACCCTAAACCCTAAACCCTAAACCCTAAACCCTAAACCCAAGGCTGGAGGACAAAAGAAGTCATCCTGAACCCTTCTTCTTCCCAAAACCTGTTTAGGAGACCGGGCCTTGTCGCGCAGCTCTTGCCTGACGACCCGGCACTTCAAAGGGTTTAGGGTTTAGGGTTTAGGGTTTAGGGTTTAGGGTTTAGGGTTTAGGGTTTAGGGTTTAGGGTTTAGGGTTTGGGGTTTGGGGTTTGGGGTTTAGGGTTTAGGGTTTAGGGTTTAGGGGTTTTCCAAGGGGCTAAATAACTTGCCCAAAAAAGGATTCTATATAACCAAAAAGGTTAAATTAAAGGTTTCCTAACCAGTTCCTAGTTTTTGGCCCTCGAGATTAAGGTGCTTTTTTGGGTCCTTGTTAACAGGGTGCCGTACTATATGCAATATAGGACTCAAAAGAAGTGACCCTACTGTAGAGAACTGCCCGTTCAGCATTCGCAGGGCTTCATGGATGTTAATGCCTTCGGCAGCTCAAAGCGATCCTGGCTTGTCACATGTGACCAGTGAAGCGTCTTCAGCTTTCTACGTCAGCAGAAGGTGTAGACTGAAATCATCGGACTCTTCCTATGCCTAAACCCTAAACCCTAAACCCTAAACCCTAAACCCTAAACCCTAAACCCTAAACCCTAAACCCTAAACCCTAAACCCTAAACCCACTAAATGGTCTGCGAGCAGAACTCGCACAGTGCTTGCCAGGCTCTTCTGGAAGTGTGGGGGGGCACGTTTCCATGCAGAGCCCCAACATGGCAAAGCTCGAAACCCTTGAGGCGCCTATGAATCCCATGAACTCGTCCTAAACCCTAAACCCTAAACCCTAAACCCTAAACCCTAAACCCTAAACCCTAAACCCTAAACCCTAAACCCTAAACCCTAAACCCTAGTGCTGCATGTAGCCACCTACATCATTTCAATCCTTGCCTGTAAACCCTGAACATCCCTAAGCATACTTTGAACCTTCAACCCTAAACGCGAAACTCTGACCATGGCGTGGCCTGCCTCTAGGGTCTAGGGTCTATAGGGTTTAGGGTTTAGGGTTTAGGGTTTAGGGTTTAGGGTTTAGGGTTTAGGGTTTAGGGTTTAGGGTTTAGGGTTTAGGGTTTAGGGTTTAGGGTTTAGGGTTTAGGGTTTAGGGTTTAGGGTTAATTTTGGGGGTTTAGGGTTTAGAAAGGCAAGAAGGGACTAGACCCCGTTTACACACAAGTAGGCCTCTTAAAGAGATCATCTGAAGCAATGATAGGAGTGTGACCATGGTACAAACCCAATAAATAAACCCCTAAACACTATAAACCCCAAACCCTAAACCCTAAACAGGCCCTAAACCCCAAACTCCGAAACTCCCGCGATGGTACCTGGACCACGGGTGCGTCATCAGGTCTTCCTCGTCGTCGCTGGAGTCCTCCTCGCGGCCCGCCAGCGCAGCCTTGGCGTTGAGGGGCTTTTGAGCAGGGTTTAGGGTTTAGGGTTTCGGGGTTAGGGTTTAGGGTTTAGGAGTTTAGGAGTAGGGTTTAGGACTCTCACAATTAGCGCAAACTGGCAAGGCTCATTGTTCAAGGGTCGTTCGGGCATAGGTTTTACAGTTTAGGCTTTAGGACTTCAGGGTTTAGGGTTTAGACTTTAGGGTTTAAGGTTTAGGGTTTAGGGTTTAGGGTTTAGGGTTTAGGGATTTGGGGCTTCAGGACGTCTGAGATTCAGGGTTCGGTTTGAGTGTCTCACACTTCAGGTGGCTTGTTTCGCTCACCTGCCCCCGCTGACTGATCGCAACTTCGAGGTTTGGTTCCGGGTTTAGGGTTTAGGGTTAGGATTTAGGGTTTAGGGTTTAGGGTTGAGGGTTGAGGGTTCCGTGGTCTTGGAGAGTTCAATTCAAGGGCTTTGGGGGTTCCAGGGTGTGAGGGTTGAAGCTCTGGGCTGTTCAGAGCTCTCTCATGCTTTTTGGGGGGCTACCGGAAAAACCCAAACCCTAAACCCTACACCCCAAACCCTAGACCCTAGACCCGAGACCCTAGACCCGAGACCCTAAACCCTAAACCCCAACCCTAAACCCTACACCCTAAACCCTAAACCCTAAACTCTTCAGGGTGCAAAAGCTGAAGGGCTTCTTGATATCCTCGGGGTTTGGGTGTGAGCCTGTGAGGCTTCTCGCGGTTCAGGGGTTCGCCTTGCGCTTAGGGTTTGGGGTTTGGTGTTCAGGGTTTACGGTTTAGGATCCAGGGTTTTGTGTCAAGGCCGAAGTCGGAAGTGAGGTTGGACCCCATAAGTCCCGAAATGACCTGAACACAAACAGGGTGCTCAGCGACCTGGAATGTTTAGGGTTTAGGGCTTAGGGTTTAGGGTTTAGGGCTTGGTTTTAGGGTTTAGGGTTTAGGGTTAAGGGTTTAGGGTTTAGGGTTTAGGGTTTAGGGTTTAGGGTTTAGGAACCCTACGAAAAGAAAATTAGGGGTACTACTGGGTATCCTAGCTTCTTAATGCTTATGCATGCGCATCGAGAATGAAATTTCCCACCGCGCGTACACAAGGAGGGCAAACTCACAACAAGCTACTTCCATCCAAACCATAAACCCCACACCCTAAACCCTAAACCCTATAAACCCCCAAACCACAAACCCCAAACCCTAACCGCCACCCAAGGGTCCCGTTGGTTCGGGCCCTGCTCGACGAAGGCGTTGGCCGCCGATGGCAGCTCGGAGGGCCGCACAAGGGACACCGGCCTCAGGATTAGGGTTTAGGGTTTAGGGTTGAGGGTTGAGGGTTGAGGGTTGAGGGTTGAGGGTTTAGGGTTTAGGGTTTAGGGTTTAGGGGTACTTGGGACACCCGCCTCAGGTTTCAAGGCCCCCCCCCCCCCTTGAAGGTTGAAAGGGTTAAGGGTTAAGGGTTTAGGGGTACTAGACACACCGGCCCTAGGCTGGTTTGGGGGTTAGGGGGGTTTGGGGGGCTTAGGCTTGTCAGGGATTTGGGTGGTTTGAAACTTAGGGTTTGGGGTACCCCTAAACCCTAAACCCTAAACCCTAAATCCTAAACCCTAAACCCTAAACCCTAAATCCTAAACCCTAACCCCTAAACCCTACAGCGAAGCAGAACATGAACCCGACATGGCCCTGCATCTGATCTCACGTGGAAGCCGCCAAGGGGCTGTGTGTTGGGCTTCTTTGGCTGCAAGGCCAAAACCTAGAAGCAAAGGTTTAGGGTTTAGGGTTTAGGGTTTAGGGTTTAGGGTTTAGGGTTTAGGGTTTAGGGTTGAGGGTTGAGGGTTGAGGGTTGAGGGTTGAGGGTTGAGGGTTGAGGGTTGAGGGTTTAGGGTTGAGGGCTGAGGGTTGAGGGTTGAGGAGGGAATTCAGGCCACTCGTGCCTCATAATTTCAGCGCATGATCATCGCAAGACATCTTGCGTGGATCCTAGACGGAACTAGCCATGAACCTGCAAAAAAGGAACCCCATCCTTTGATGGGTATGATTAAGGGAACACAGACACCCCCACACGGAGCAAGCTCAATAAACCCTAAACCCTAAACCCTAAGCCCTAAGCCCTAAGCCCTAAACCCTAAACCCCCACACGGAGCAAGTACAACTTGCACATCCGAGTGCAAGCCCTGCGCTCTTCAATCGCCAGGCCTGGTTGCCCACGGTGTACTTGTAGTTCCTTGGAACGCAGATGCCTAAACCTTACACCCAGAACCTACACCCTAAACCCTAAACCCTAAACCCTAAACCCTAAACCTTAACCCTAAACCCTAAACCCTGAAACCGGCTCGGGCTTTTTTGGGGGTGTCAGGTGTTTGGCTTCTCCGCATGATGTGGCGAGTGCCAGGTTCGGGGGCCCGCTGTTCCTGCAAGCGTTTTAGGGTTTAGGGTTTAGGGTTCAGGGTTTAGGGTTTGGTTTAGGGTTCGTGGTTTAGGGTTTAGGGATTTGGGGTTTAGGGACTAAGGTCTGAGGTTTAGGGTTTCGGGTTTGAGGTTTAGGGTCTAGGTTCTAGGGTGTAGGGATTCAGGTTTGAGGCTTGGGGTTTAGGAGTTAGGACTTAGAATGCCCTGCATCCAAGAAAAGGCCTTAAGGCAGGCCTGAACCCTAAACCCTAAACCCTAAACCCTAAACCCTAAACCCTAAACCCTAAGACAACCCCTGGTATCTGCCGCCCTGGCGCTTCGTAGGGGTGCGGAAGTGGCGGGCATCCTTGGCATCGGGCAAGAAGTCCTTCCACTGCGTCAGGGTCTTCTCCACCTGAGAAGGGCTTAGGGCTTAGGGCTTGGGGCTTAGGGCTTAGGGCTTGGGGCTTAGGGCTTGGGGCTTGGGGCTTAGGGCTTAGGCCTTAGGGCTTAGGGCTTAGGGCTTAGGCCTTAGGGCTTAGGGTTTAGGGCTTAGGGTTTAGGGCTCTTCATTGGATCAAAGGGTTCTTGAGGGAGGGTGGGTTTAAGGGGTGTTACGGTTTAGGGTTTAGGGTTTAGGGTTCGGCCTCGTCTGCTTTGAGGTTTGTGTGGTTTGTGCACGTCTCTGTGTGGCTATCGAGCCATCGAAGTGGGGACGAGAGGGAATCGGAGTCAGGAGAACACTTCGCAGGGCAAGGGAAGCTCGTCATGCGGAATCGAGAATCTTGTTGGCCCAGAATAAGCACTAAGCAGCCCCCCTTCCCCCCCCCTTCCACCCTTCCCCCCCTTCCCCTCTTGAGACCCTTTTTGCAACTGGGCTTGCGGGCCAGCCCCTTGAGACCCTGAACCCTAAACCCTAAACCTTTCCCTCAATGAGACTGATTACCCTGAAGCCTACAGGCTTTTTGTTGGCTCCGGTTTCCCTAAACCCTAAACCCTAGATCCAAGAGGCATAGGTGAGCCAGCCGAACCTGAAAAAGCAGGGATGCTGGGCAGGCCGTTGGGGTATAGTTGTTTTTCTCCACGTTTTGGGCGGCGGAGGTTAGGGTTTAGGGTTTAGGATTTAGGGTTTAGGGTTCAGGGTTCAGGGTTCAGGGTTTGGAGTGCTACACGGGCCATCCTAGTGTTGCGGCCTCCGCGTGCTTTTGGGGGTTGCCGGACCCACGTGATGAGCAGAAGGATGTGTGTTTAGGGTTTAGGGTCTAGGGTCTAGGGTTTAGGGTTTAGGGTTTAGGGTTGAGGGTTTAGGGTTTAGGGTTTAGGGTTTAGGGTTTAGGGTTCCCTAAAAGCCCTCAAGTTGGTCCAAGCCCAGTAAGCTACAGCCCCCACGACCCTGCAGGTTTAGGGTTTAGGGCTTTCAGGGTTCAGGGTTTAGGGTTTAGGGTTTAAGGTTTAGGGTTTAGGGTTTAGGGGTACAACAAGCCACGACTTTAGAGAGAGGAAGGAAGCCCCAGCAGACACCGAGCAAACTCTTAAAGGCCATGCTTTTCCTTGCACAGCCTTATGACCGGCCTCCTTCAAAGCCCAACAAACCTGACTTGCAACAACAAAAGCTCCAACAACCAACCCCAACACCCGAACCCCCGAAACCCTAAACCCCAAACCCTAAACCCGAAACCCGAAACCCGAAACCCGAAACCCTAAACCCTAAACCCTACCGAGGCGCAGGTTCTCGCCCGTGCTGCCGAACTCAGGCGCCGCCTGGCCGCCGAAGCCACGGTTCTCCTTGGGAGGGCTTGAGGTGTGGATTAGGGTTGTGTGGTTTAGGGTTTAGGGTGTAGGGTTTAGGGTTTAGGGTGTAGGGTTTAGGGTTTAGGGTTTAGGGTTTAGGGTTTAGGGTTTAGGGTTTAGGGTTTACGGTTTAGGGTTTAGGGTTTAGGGTTTATCTTTTAGGGTTTAGGTTTTTTTTTTGCCACCCTCTAGGGCATAGGGGTTTGCAGCAGGTTTGATGGGTCTTCTGGTAGGGCTTATGGCCTTAGCGGGGGCTTGTTGGGCATACATGATATGCGTTGTGGTGTCAGTTTATATGTCTCCACCGCGGCGCGGGTTTAAAGCTTTCTCAATAGGGCCCACGGACTGTGATGTGAGGTGCAGGGAGCGGCGGGGCTTCGGACTGTTAAGGTTTACCCAAAACCCCAAGTATGTGCATCGAATTTGAGGAAACATGAAACATGGGTGTATAAAGCCAAGAATATGGGGAGGTTTCTCCTGCGGCAACCAAAAGGGCTTTGGGCTTCGAGGTGAGGTTTGGCTTATTGCAGTACCTGGGTCAGCCAGGTGAATCGGCAGCCTAGCAGCACGCTCAACACTTGCACCTTTATATCCAATGCCTATATTCTCTCGCTGTCTCTCTCTCTCTCTCACACGCGTAGCCCCCCCGCCCCCAAAAAAAAAGGGAGCTGCCCCGAAGGGCGCGCACGATCTGCACTCTCTCTCTGTCTCTCTCTCTCTCTCTCTCTCCCTCCCTCCCCCTAAAACCGAAAACCTAAACCTCAACCCAGCACACACAAAAATGTACCATGCGGCCGTACACAGGTATCGACCTGAATTCATCCCCACCCGAAGGTAGGCCACAACAGTAGCCCGGGTGGCCCTCTCAACCGTCTTGAGGATGGCATGGATGACCGGCCTTGGGAGCTCAACCGGGGTTTGGGGTTTAGGGTTTAGGGTTTAGGGTTTAGGGCTTAGGGTTTAGGGTTTGGGGTCTATAGGGCTTAGGGTTTAGGGTTTGGCCCGGGCCGCGCCATACCACAGCGCCGCCAAAAACAGCCAAGGACCGCCGCCCGGGCCACGCCACAGGGTTTAGGGCTTAGGGCTCAGGGTTTAGGATTTGGGGTTTGGGGTTTAGGGTTTAGGGTTTAGGGTTTGGGGTTTAGGGCTTAGGGCGCTTCTGGGCATGTGTCAGTTTCCTGCCGCGCGGGTCAGCTTCGGGTATCTCGGGACTATGGGAGCTCTACGGGAAGCATCTCCGGGTCCCTGAACAGTTCCGCCAAGCGCCCTTCCCTAAACCCTAAACCCTAAACCCTAAACCCTAAACCCTAAACCTCAAGGGGAGAATCTTGTGCAAGGAGCAACTCCTAGACCCCCAAAAGCGCACTACTGACTGCAAAAGCCCCAAACCCCTTTGGCAACCAGGACTGTGCAGCAAGCCCCAGACCCCTAAACCCCTAAATGCCTAAACCCCTAACCCCTAACCCCTAAACCCTAAACCCTAAACCCTAAACCCTAAACCCTAAACCCTAAACCCTAAACCCTAAACCCTAAACCCTGCCTTAAACCCTAAACCCTTAAACCCTAAAGCCTCAACCCTCAACCCTAAGCCTAGCCGCCTGCATCGATCGATGATCTCTGACTGCTGGGCCGCCTGAGGGGGACAACGCACAAGGGTTTTAGGGTCTAGGGTTTAGGGTTTAGGGTTTGGGGTTTAGGGTTTAGGGTTTCGGGTTTAGGGTTTGGGGTTTAGGGTTTGGGGTTTGGGGTTTGGGGTTTCGGGTTTAGAGCTTTTCTACCGCACGAACGCCGGCCTGCAGCTTGTTGTCCTCCGTAGCCGCACCTTGAAACAAGAAGTTGGAAGATGCCTAAACCCAGAGGCCTAAATGATCCCTATAAAGGTTTCTACAAGGGGTACCGAATTCCCTCACCCTAGATGTTCCACATATATATATATATATATATATATCTCTCTCTCTCTCTCCCCTGAAGGGATTCTATAAAAGGTACCTAATTCCCTGATACTCGGGCGTCAGGAATGTCAGGGTTTGGGGGGTCTCCAGCAGCACATCCACGAACGCAGTAGATCGACAAGACGGTGCAGGATGTCGGTGTGGGGGAGATAGGGTTTAGGAGTTTGGAGTTTAGGGTTTAGGGTTTAGTGTGAGGGGTGAGGGGGTTTAGGGTTTTCGGGCGCAGCTTCATGACTTGAAGTTCCTCCACAAGAACGCAGTTCGAGGGGGACTTCTAGATGCTGCATGATTCCCAACCCTAAGCCCTAAGCCCTAAGCCCTAAGCCCTAAACCCTAAACCCTAAACCCTACACCCTTTTTTGCAGCCGGACTGAGACCCTACACCCTAAACCCTAAACCCTAAACCCTAAACCCTAAACCTAACACCCCGTCAGGGCCTGTGCTTTCAATCTGGGCGTTGAGGTCCGTCAGAGCCAGCACACGCTTCTTGTCACCTTTTGCGCAGTGTGGAGGGCATCTCAACACCCCGAAACGCTGCTGGAAACCCACATTTGGGGTTTAGGGTTTTTTTTCCCACCTGTCTCGCATGCGTTTGCGGGGAAAAGGTCTGACAAGTACTAAGGCCCAAGTTAAGAGGACGAGGTTGCGGTAGGTTTTAGGGTTTAGGGTTTAGGGTTTAGGGTTTAGGTTTTAGGGTTTAGGGTTTAGGGTTTAGGGCTTAGGGTTTAGGGTTTAGGGTTTAGGGTTTAGGGTTTAGGGTTTAGGGTTTAGGGTTTAGGGTTTAGGGTTTAGGGTTTAGGGCCTTTTGCGGGCCCTCCTGGTACGAACCGTAGGCTTCAATCCTGATCAAACCCATGTCGAGGAATCGGGGCTTGAAAAACTAAAGCAGGAGCATCCTTTGCAAAGATCCCCCGTTGGTTCCCATCAATGCCAGACCGCATCCATCCAGGCCAAGGAAACCGTGAACCCCTAAACCCTAAACCCTAAACCCTAAACCCGAAACCCCGAAACCCGAAACCCGAAACCCTAAACCCTAAACCCTAAACTCCTAAACTCCTAAACCGGAGCGCTCTCCGCTTCGAGCTCCTGCTGGTTCGCCAGCTGGTCCTGGTGCACGGCTTCGGGGGCGGTGCGGGTTTAGGGTTTAGGGTTTAGGGTTTAGGGTTTAGGGTTTAGGGTTTAGGGTTTAGGGTTTAGGGTTTAGGGTTTAGGGTTTAGGGTTTAGGGTTTAGGGTTTAGGGTTTAGGGTTTAGGGTTTAGGGTTTTAGGGTTTAGGGTTTAGGGTTTAGGGTTTAGGGTTTAGGGTTTAGGGTTTAGGGTTTAGGGTTTAGGGTTTAGGGTTTAGTCGCTCACACTCGGGTTTAGGGTTTAGGGTTTGGGGTTTGGGGTTTGGGGTTTAGGGTTTAAGGATTGCGCAAGTTTACGGATTGAATGGTTCACATGCAGGAAAAGGCAACTGTGTATAAATACATAAATAAAAATGTACATATGTATATACATATATATATAATTTGTATCTATATAGTCATTTCTCTGCGGTTCTCTACATTGGGGCCCCTTCTGGATCCCCCCCCCCCCCCCCACAAAAAAAAAAAAACAGCACCCTTAAAATGAGAATCCCAGAAGGGGGCCTAATTTAGAGAACTACCCATACACATACCTACTATTCCTCAAAAAAACATCTTCTGCCTTCTCAGGGCAAGATGGAGATTTTATCATCTTCCATTTCTGAGGGGGTTCTTAAACGAACAGTACATCCCCCGATAACCCTAAACCCTAAACCGTAAACCCTAAACACGATAGTACATCCCCCGAGAAGTGAAGAAAAAACACCCATCCTTCAGCTGGCGGTTCTGCTTGTCCAGCGTCTCGATCTCGCGGTTCAAAGCATTCACCTGCTGATTGAACCTAAACCCTAAACCCTAACCCCTAAACCCTAAACCCTGAACCCTAAACCCTGAACCCTATACCCTAAACACTAAACCCTAAACCCGAGGCTTGCTGCCAGCGCTCCCTACTGTGTTCGGGTTTAGGGTTTTGGGCTCCCTTAAAGCCCTGAACCCCAAAAACCACAAACCGAAACCCAGAAGACTTCATCATCAGTTTCAAACACCTGTATGTATGTATGTCTGTCTGTATGGGTGTTTATATGTGTACATTCGTACTGAACAAAACTGACCCCAAAAACGCCCTCTGAAACAAACATCGCCATGCGGCATAGGTGAGCAGGCTGAAGTTTCGCTGCTCCAGCGCCACGAAGATCTTGACCTGGGGCTGAGAGTTAGGGTTTAGGGTTTATTGTTTAGGGTTTAGGGTTTAGGGTTTAGGGTTCAGGGTTTAGGGTTTAGGGTTTAGGGTTTTTGCTTCGGGCGGCTTGGGGTCGAGCTCCAGAGCTCAGGGCTTAGAGCCCAGTGCGCTGTCCACCGAAAAAGAGCCCCGGACACTTGGCTTACTTGAGGCCTGCGGTGGAAGGGCCACCAGAGGCTCGGAGGCTTCTTGATTTGGGTTTAGGGTTTGGGGTTGAGGGTTGAGGGTTTAAGGTTGAAGGTGAGGCTTGAGGGTTGAGGGTTGAGGGTTGAGGGTTGAGGGTTGAGGGTTGAGGGTGTAGGGTCTTCCCTGCGCATTCGGCCAGGCCACCCCGTGTTGTTGCTCAGCTCTCTGTAGCAGATCGTATGCGACCGGATGACCGGTGAAGGCAACCGAAACCCAACCCGAGAATACATAACCCAGGTTGGCCCCATAAACCCTCTGAAACAGATTCCTGAAGATGATCCTCTTAAGCCCAGTAAGGGGAAAACCCTCTACCCCAAAGCCCTGAAACCCCTGAAACCCTGAAGCCGAAAATATCCCAAGGGCCTACCCAGGCTAACCCTAAACCCTAAACCCTGAACCCGAAAATATCCCAAGGGCCTACCCAGAATAACTTGGCTGGGGCGCAATCTCCTCAATATCAGAGATGCCCGTGGTCGACTTGATGGTGGCAAAGGCCTCTGCAGCGCTTTTGAGGTTCTGGGGTTTAGGGTTTGGGGTTTGGGGTTTAGGGGTTTAGGGTTTAGGGTTTCGGGTTTAGGGTTTAGGGTTTGGGGGTGAGATATGTCCACTGCCGCCACTGAACAGAAGCATCTCGCCAGACTTGAACCAAGCCTCCTCTTAATCCTCCCCCCCTTACTCCCTAATGCCCCCCCCCCCCCCGTTACTCCCCTAAATCCTAAACCCCAAACCCTTTCTTGAACCCAGGCTCTGCACTATAAAACCCTAAACCCTAAACCCTAAACCCAGTAGGCTTCTGAAGATTCTCGCCTAGTCGGGTGGCCAGTATGGTTGACTCAACCCTGCTACGACAAGTCGGTCACACCTGCAGCTGCTGACTTCTCGAAATCTGCTGGTCAAGGCATACGAACTTGAACTGATCAAAGACTCAAAGATGAGGTCATGGATACGCGTCATCCCCTAAACCCTGGCCCTAACCCCTTGATCCACGAAACCCCTAAACCCCTGAACCCCTCTACCCCCTAAACCCTTTTTGCATCCAGGTCTCTTGCAGCCAGCCGGGTAAACCCCTAAACCCTAAAACCCTAACCACTAAACCCATAAAAACCCCTAAAACCCCCAAAAGCCTTACGTTCACCCAACCACCCGCCTGCTCGAAGACCTCGATATTCTTCTGATGCTGCCGGATATGCCTCGCAGGAGGGGACGCAGGTTGCTGCTGCCGTCAGGGTTTAGGGTTTAGGGTTTAGGGTTTAGGGTTTAGGGTTTAGGGTTTAGGGTTTAGGGCTTAGGGTGATTTGGTCGTTTCCGAAATTAGGGGGCACCGTATTGGGGTCCTTATTGTAGGGGAATCCAACTATTTGGAGGTTGACACTACAGATTTCTGATCGTCGTAAACCCCATAAATCATTTAGGTTCTAGTTTGTTGTTGCTTTGGGGTTTAGGTTTGTCTTTAATGTATCATGGGTTCCCCCTACTACCCCCCCCCCCCCCCAGGTTCCCCCCAAAATGACGGCTTTTCAGGGAGAATTAAGCCTAATTAAGGTCTTTTAAGGGGGACCCCAGGGGGGTAGTTTAGACAGGGGTGGTAGGCAAACCCCTAAACCCTAAACCCGAAATCCTAAACCCTAAACCCTAAACCCTAAACCCATGAGTGTAGCTGTGATGCTTTTTGGTTGTTCGTGCCTCAAAGCCGAGACATCTGACCACGGTGGCATTTGAAGGGGCGTTGGCCTAGGCTTCTACTCCTTAGGGGCTGAATACCCTAGCCCAACAAGTAAACCTTACACACATATACATACTTCTATATATATATATATATATACATATGTGTGTGTTTATATTTATACTGGGATTAATACAACCAAAAGGGTTAAAGGCTACCTACCGTCCCTGAGATTCTTAGGTTTGCATTAGGGAGGCCTCCTCTGGATGGCATTTAAGAACGCCAGCTTCAGGATCCTCCGCATGACCAGCGTGGAGTTGAAGTTCTCCTCCTCATCGGCCTGTTTCGGGAAAAAGGCTAAACCCTAGACCCTAAACCCTAAATCCCTTAACCCTAGTTTCCCTACTACAGAGTACCCTCCCTCTATACTACCGCCCCCCGGTTCCCGCCTTAAGTAGCCTGAAATAGGCTTAATTTATCTCTGAGTAGCCTTAAGTATGGGGGGGAACCTAGGGGGGTGTGGGGTAGTGTAGAGGGGAGTAGAAGGGGAGCCCATGATAGAAAGAGACAAGCCACATGGGAGTTTCTGAAGGGAAGGGGTACCTTCTAGGGGTCCTGATTATAAGGAATCCTACTATTTGGAGCCAATGGGAGTGTCCTGCTTTCGTAACCCCCTACATCTATGTAGGACAAAGGCAAGCTGGCGACTCTGAATTTCTTCGGCACTGATCTGTGGCCCATTGGCTCGCGGCGGAAGAATACACGCAAAGGATGGCACGTGGACCAACGAGCCTTTACGATATCCGTGATTCAAGAGACACCTGCAGTTGATTTAATCACTGCGGCTACGGGAGCTCCGAAAAGAAAGCTACATGTCTACAGACACGAGCTTTGGATTCACCAAAGGCTTCAGCAAGTCATACTTCCGCGCCACCGACCAGAAGGCGTCTGTCTCATTCGGCAAGACGTGCACTGGGCAATGGTCGTAGGCATAGCAGAAGTGATCCCTTTCAGCGTTTCCTGATCTGGCGCACCCACAGGTCTCTGGGCAAAACCATGCCAGGGGCCGGTATCTATTGCCGCCCCGGCACCACTCGTTGCCGTTCATGTCCATGGGCATCCCCTGCAAGGCGATGCAGCCCGCATTTCGGGCAAAGGCGACAAAGTCCACGAGCGCCTGGAATTGAGCGTAGTGAATGCCAGTCTCCTTGGTAGCCCGGAAACCATATTACAATAATAATACGAGCACTCTTTTGGGGGTTGGTTACTAAACCCTAAACCCTAATTCCTACACCCCAAACCCGAAACCCGAAACCCGAAACCCGAAACCCTAAACCCTAAACCCTAAACCCTAAACCCTAAACCCTAAACCCTAAACCCTAAACCCTAAACCCTAAACCCTAAACCCTAAACCCTAAACCCTAACCCTAAATCCTAAACCCTAACCCCAAACCCGTTTTGTGCGCCAGGGCTCACTCAACCCCAAACCCTAAACCCTAAACCCCAAACCCATTGGGCCACCAAGTCTCATGGGAGATGTAGGTGATGTAGTTGTCCCAGAAGTGTCGCCAGCCAGGCCCTGGAGGTGCATCCTTGCATCCCAAGTTATAGGGTTTAGGGTTTAAGGTTTAGGGTTTAGGGTTTAGGGTTTAGGGAAGGTGGTCCTTGCATCCCACGGTGAAATTTGGCACGTTGCCAAAGAGGGGACTTGTCGTGGACAGGCTGAATCCGTAGGCTTCTTGAATGCCTTTCTCCAATGACCAAGGCAAAAAAAACCCTAAACCCTAAACCCAAAAGGTTAAACTTTAGTATTCCTACTAAATAAGGAAACCCAAAAAGTTTAAACTTCAACTACAGGCGAAGTGAGATGCAGGCATCGCGGCACCCGTGCGCGGGGGGCTTCAAGAGCGGAGATGAGAGGGGGTCCGTGCATCCGCATTCATCCGGGCAAGCGACTCGCAACCACCTCTCAGGGGCTGAATACCCTGGCCCAAAAAAAGATTACCCTTTATATATATATATATATATACTAGGAGTCTACAAACCGAAAAGGGTAAAGGTTACCTACCCCATCCAGAAGACCTTGCGGCAGAACTCACGTACTGCAAGAAGCTTGCCTTAGCTTTGGAGTAGACCCTGGAAAAAAATGTATATACTCAGAGGTATTAAGTAGCTAGAATCGGAGCCCAGAAACCACAACAAGTATTAAAGTGTAGTACCTCAAAGCCCAGCCGCTTCCTCGTTGCAGTAGGATTTTAGCTCCTGGCAGCTCTGCGAAGCTGGTTGGCCGACTTCAAAAGCTGCCGCGGCGATGAAGGGCGACTGATCCAAGAATGGATGTCTGAAGCACTGGTCGAAGCCTTCGTAGCCCAGTAACCCTAAACCCTAAACCCCCTTCCTTTGGTTGGTTACTTTATCATGGAGCCCAGAACCAAAAAGAGGGTAAAGGGTACCACTGGGCTGCCCAGACGCCGTACAGCCACTCGTCATAATTGAGAGGCATCCACCCCTGAAGGACGCTGATGTGCCCATAATAGAAAGGAGCCACAAGGGGATTGGAAGAGACCCAGGACTGGTTTTTGGGAAAGGCGTACGCCATGGCCACGTCTTGCACGTACGTCTGGTTGGCTTCCAAGTCCTTACTTCTCCAATAACAAAGGGGGAAAACAGATTAAACTTTAATATTCCTACTAAATAAGGAAACCCAAAAAGGGTAAAGTTCAACTACAGGCCCTAAAATTGGGGTCAGATTCCCTTACTACTATAATTCATTAAGGTATATCATAAACTCTTTTAGGGTTCATTTCGTCCCCAAGAGTCAGAGTCGCCGGCGGCCGGTTCGGTCGGCGACATGGCGACGATGAGACGGTTCATGCCAACGGCAAAGGTGAGTTCTCCTCCACACCATCTAGGGTTTAGGGTTTAGGGTTTAGGGTTTAGCAGATGTGAGTTCTCCTCCACACAACTGCGTCTTCACCGCGAGCATGTCATCCTTGGTAGCCCAGCAACCACATTATAACAAGAGCACCCTGTTTTGGGGTTGGTGACTTTTATAAGGAAGCCCATAACCCCCCCCCCCAAAAAAAAAAGGGAAAAGGGTGCCACTGGGCTACCAAGCATCTCTGAGGGGTGACAAGAGCATGAAGTATGGCAGGAGAAGTCCGGCAAGAAGGACGCAGGCAAGAACCAGGTTCTCCACGCGAGGCCATCGACTGCTCTTCCTCATCATGACGGGAGGCAACCTTTGGATTTCCTGCTGGAGCTGTGTGGGCACAAAGGCGGAGAAGATGAACCTTACTGCTGCAATAACCAAGGGGGGAAAAAGGTTAAACTTTAAGATTCCTACCAAGTAAGGAAACCCAAAAAGCTTAAAGTTCAACTAAAGGCGAAGTAAGGAACTCATCCACGTGCAGCACGGCCTCAAGCGCGACGGAGTTGAGCATCAGCTCAGTGATGGAGGTGGTGCGCGACAGCCACAAGGTTCCTGATACCTTGGCTGGCCCTTAAAAGACAAAGCCCTCTGACAAAACACATCCTGAAGAGGGCTTCGGGTTCAGGGTTCAGGGTTGAGGGTTTAGGAGTTTAACCCTAAACCCTAAACCCTAAACCCAAAAAAAGGAGAAAATATGAAAATGTCCCCAGGGCCGACCTAGATACCAAGAGTGCACAAGCCACTGTGGCCCGGCCCAGGCACACCTTGGGGGCGAAATGAACCCTAAAAGGGTTTAGGGTTTAGGGTTTAGGGTTTAGGGTTTAGGGTTTAGGGTTTAGGGTGCAGGGTTTATGGTTCATATTACCTTAATAGGAATTATAGTAGTATAGGGTTTATGACCCACTTTTAAGGTTCATTTCGTCCTCAAGGCACGGAGGCCATGGCCGCGGCCAGCCGTCCCGACACGGCTTGGCGCTGGGCTTCGTGGGCTTCGTGGGCTGGCGCTTTGCCTAGGGTTTAGGGTTTAGGGTTTAGGGTTTAGGGTTTAGGGTTTAGGGTTTAGGGTTTAGGGTTTAGGGTTTAGGGTTTAGGGTTTAGGGTTTAGGGTTTAGGGTTTGGGGTTTAGCTTGGTTGTCCAGAAACCTGGGGGAATTAAAGGTTAACCTTTGGGATTGTGTAGGGGAGTAGACATACCCCGCAAGAAGGTTGAAGGTTGCCTACTCCACTACGAAGTTGCCGCTTGCCCGCGCGGGGCCCACGTGGCCGAAGAAGACCGCCTGTAGGACATACCAGACACTCCGCAACTCCCGAACGATGCAGATGATCCACAGGAGAATGCAGAGCACTGCCAACAGCACCCCAGGTTGAAAAGATGTCACGGCAAATCCCTCGGGACCGAGTTTTCCAAGACCGAGATAGCTGTTGATTTGGCTGACCAATGTAGCTTGTGCAGTGGAGTAGATCAAGGATCCATCCTCGTCGCACACCCTGGTCGCCAAGCTTCTGCTTGAAAGGTCGACGTACTCGACGTCATGAGCAAAGCTTGCGCGCCACACACGCGCGGCCTTGAGGTTGGCCGCGAAGTCGGTGCCCAGGAACTCAGGGGATGCGATAATGAGCGTGAAGAGACTCTGCATGGCGACATTCACAAAGAGGAGCACGCAGGCAAAGACACTCTCAGACAGGTTGCTCCCAGAGATGACCAAGGGAATTGACCAGGCACTTTTTCGGTCAAAGCCTGGGATGGCTCTTAAAGCCCTCTGAACAAACATTCCTGGAAATCCTCTTCTTAAACCCACCAAGGGAAAACGAAAAATCTCCCAAGGGCCTAGAAGCAGATCAACTCCTGCTGCAAGTCTTTTTCGGCTCCTGCTTCGTGGCCAGGTTTTTGTTCCGGTTTTGGCGGTTTTGGCTCAGATGCGAGCACGTGAATCTCCATGCTCCCGTCCGGCTCAACCTCCACCTCGGATCCATTCTTCGAGTTGCCGTCCTCAAACGCAACCTTGGTAGCCGAGTAGCCATATTGCAATAAGGGCACCCTGTTCTGGGTTGGTGAATTTATGAGGGAACCTTGCACCAAACAAAATGGGAAACGGGTACCACTCGGGTATCAAGCAACTGAGACCAGGGGGCCCACGTTGTTGCTGCCCAGGTTGTTGTTTCCCCGGTTGTTGTTGGAAACCTTGAGCTGCAGGTTCCTGATTTGGGCCTTGACCTCAGCCAGGTCTGCTTGCAACATGCGACTGAGCTTCGCCAGCTCCTCGTCCACATAGCTTTTGGAAGCGGCTGCCATCTGGGTGCACGCTTCAGGATCTCAGGAAACGCACATTTCAAGCCTTTGAGCCGGGGAGCGCACGAGCAGCCTTTGCAGACCTGACGCCTAGAGATGTGAAGCGCATGGTTTAGGGTTTAGGGTTGAGGGTTTAGGGTTTAGGGTTTTTGGTTTCGGGCTCAAGGCAGAGGGCTTCGTTGAGCCTGCCTTGAGGCTTTTGGTCTTGCTTCCCTTGCCGTCTCCATCCTCCTTCTTGTCGGAGTCCTTTAGGGTTTAGGGTTTAGGGTTTAGGGTTTAGGGTTTAGGGTTTAGGGTTTAGGGTTTAGGGCTTAGGGCTTAGGGCTTAGGGTTTATGGTGGCGCTTCCGGGCTCCAAGCTTCCCGACGACAGAACGGCCAGATTTCATGAGGACTTGACCACCCTCAGCCGATACTGCATCCTAGCGGAATCTGATTTTCAACAACGTCACTGCATCCCGGACTCTAGTAAACCCTAAACCCTAAACCCTAAACCCTAAACCCTAAACCCTAAACCCAACAAACAGAAGAGGTGCGCAAACCGAAGGCTCCTTGACCATCTGCACACGCTGGGTTAGCTCCTCACGCTCCTTCTGCTTGTACTTCACCTGGAGCCTTGGTGAAACTTCCATGCCGAGGGTGAGGGTCTAGGGTTTAGGGTTTAGGGTTTAGGGTTTAGGGTTTAGGGTTTAGGGTTTAGGGTTTAGGGTTTAGGGTTTAGGGTTTAGGGTTGAGGGTTTAGGGTTTAGGGTTTAGGGTTAGGGTTTAGGGTTTAGGGGGTTAGGGTTTAGGGTTTAGGGTTTAGGGTTTAGGGTTTAGGGTTTAGGGTTTAGGGTTTAGGGTTTAGGGTTTAGGGTTTAGGGTTTAGGGTTTAGGGTTTAGGGTTTAGGGTTTAGGGTTTAGGCTTTAGGGTTCAGGCTTTAGGGTTCAGGGTGCAGGCTATGACCAGTAAGTATCTTTTGCCATGATTTGAGAAACCCCGAAAAGTTCCTGAGGGCCTGTTCGCATCACCACTTTGCGGGTTACGAAAAAGGGGACTCCCAATATAGGTCCCAAATAGTGGGATTCCCTTACAAGCCTTAGAATAAGGACCCCAGTAAGGTATCCCTAATCTCGGAAACCCCCATTTGAGCGCCGTGCTCTTGGACCTTCTGCTTGAAGACCTTTCGCTCCTCTTCGACCTTTTGGCGGGTTTCAGTTTAGGGTTTCTTGCGGCTTAATTCCAGACCTAAAGGGGAGGCCCATTTCGTTTTTGCTTTGGGGAGGGGGGGGGGGGGGGGGGGGGGTTCAGGGTTTAGGGGGTTAGCCCAAGCCCTTCTGGCTCGTTCTGGCTCTAACCTCTCCAAGAACCAGGAAGAAAACTTGCCAAACTCATCGACTGCATGCCCTGCAGCACTCTAGCCCATAAACAACCTCCTAAAGTTTAGGTTTAATCGCTCACTCTCGGACACGCCAGGCGAGGCACACTCTGTCCCATGCTCTTGCTGTAGAGCCCAGGTTTAGGGTTTGGGGCTTGCGGTTTTGGGTGACTACACACTGCAGACCCTTTTCTTGCAACCATACAAACTCCCAAACACCTACATCCTTTGTCCGCGATATTCACCCTAGACCCTAAACCCTAAACCCTAAACCCTGGACCCTAAACCCTAAACCCTAAACCCTAAACCCTAAACCCTAAACCCTAAGCGCACAAACCCTTTCAGCCCTGAACCCTCAACCCTTGCTCGGACCTGCTTCTTCAAGGCCGCCATCTTGTGTGCGCGCTCCTCCTGGTCCCGGCGCCTGGTGCCATTCAGCAGGGTTTAGGGTTTAGGGTTTAGGGTTTAGGGTTTAGGGTTTAGGGTTTAGGGTTTAGGGTTTAGGGCTTAGGGCTTAGGGCTTAGGGCTTAGGGCTTAGGGCTTAGGGCTTAGGGCTTGCCGGGTTTGTGGGGTTTGGTCGGGCTGAGGATTTAAAAAAGGCCTAGGGTGGACGAATCTGGGACCTCATGGGTTTACTGGCAGTGTGATGGACTCCTTTGCTCGCAGAGCCGTACGGCAAGAACTAGTTGGGAGGGTTTTCGGGTTGATTTCTGGACTTGGGGTTTGGGGGTCCTCGGCCTTAGGGCAGTTTCGGGCTCCACAGCTTTAGGATTCTTGGGGCTTGTAGGGCTTTTTGGTTTGGGTTTTTTGTTCTGCCACCCGCCTAGCTGACTGTCGGGCTTTTGGGTTTAAGGTTCAGGGGTTGAAGCAAGGTCTCAAGCCCCTCTCGCAGCAGCCGGGTGTCGCCGCGTCGTTCTCGCGGTGAATCTGCGAAACCATGCCTTGCCACAGGTACGAGAAATTTGTAGCATGGGAACCGTATGGGGATTTCCGAGCGCAGGGGCGCAGGGGTACCCTTTCGGGGTCCCTTTAAGGGGATTCTATTCCATTTGGGGTATAAAAGAGGTACCCCTATTTGGGAACCAGATGGGCATACTCCTGCCTCACGAAATGCAGCTGAAACAAAACAGGTGTCCTCATTCTGCACTTGGGGGCTGAATACCCTAGCCCAAAAACGGTTAACCTCTTATCTGTACTGGGATTCTGTATAACCAAAAAGGTTAAAGGTTAGCTGCCCAGCCCCTACGCGTAAGGCTTTTGCATAAATTCGGTGGGCGCAGGACTGAAGGAGGGGCCCTCAGGGACGTTAGGGGTTAGTTGGGGGTTCTTTACGGCTACTTAGGTATATAGGGACTATATAAGGTATATATATATATATATATATCTATAAAAATAGGGCTATACAGGGGAGTAAGATTAAGGGTCCCAGGGGTCCCTGCTGATACCCCTTAATGGGTACCGGGCCGTGGCAGAGACCGCCGGCTCCGGCCCTTGAGCTTGGGAGCTCCATGCCAATGGTGGGAACATGGGGGGCTTTACGAACATAGGAGACCTCATAAACACCCCCAAATAGTATGATTCCCTTGTAATGATGATAACAAGAAGAAGGAGAATAATAATAAGACTGATATCGTACACCCCCACATGCAGCCGGGGAGCTCATGTTGTCCTTGATGTCCTGTGACGACGCACACGGACTCACACGGACTCAAGTGGTGGAGCGGTTCTACCTATGGGTTCAGGGTTTAGGCTTCAGGGTTCAGGGCCTATGTAATGAAAGGCCGGGCACCATGCCATTTTATGAGTTCAGGGTTGGCCTTCCAGCTGTTTTCCTCCCTGAAGGACACCCTCCTGCTCCCGACAAAGTTTCCCAGAGTCTTTGGGGAAGTCAGTAAACATGAAGCCCACGAAATCCTAAAACCCTAAACCCTAAACCCTAAAGCCTAAACCCTGGGCCGCCCCTTAGGCCTGCTGGAGCTTCTTGAAGACCTGCGTGCCGTTCCACAAATGGGGCGTGCAAGGGCTGAGCGGGCTTTTATCGGGTCATAAGCCTGGGACAACCATAGGGTTCATTAAGGGCTTGCGGGCAGGGTCTTTGTCTGATGTTCTCGGAGCAAAACAAACGAAAAAAACTAGGGCAGTTGGTTCTCAAAGACTATCATCTAACCAGAAGATAACCCCCACCAACCCCCGCCGAAGTCCCACCACACTTCGATTAGAAGCATGCTAGGCCCAGTTACATTTTGTACATTCACACATCGTTCCCCCTTTTTCTAACAGCCCTTAACAGGGATTATAGTAACCACCTATTCTAATCCACCTAAGCACTGTTCGTGTAAGGGGGAACATCCCAGGCTTGGGGCTCAGGGCTGTTTCGGGTTTGGGGATGACCTCCCTCTCTTCTGCACCATTGTTGGGGCACTACTCAAAATAGTCATTTCTGTTCCTTATTGGGAAAAAGTATTCACAAAATGTAAAATGATTCTCAACAATGACCCTCTCTTGCCTGAATGAGCTGAAGCCTTTCGCGGCGAACCGTGTCGACTCGATTCCGGCACTCCATGTTTTCCTTGGTCGCACAGGCCCCTAGACACCCACCTACCATGCTGCAACTGATGCCTAGGGTTGCTTTAAAGTGCACCCTGGGACTTGCCCTAAACCACGCAAGTAACGGAGAACAGCGGGGGCCTAAGCCGCAAGTCCTTCTAGGAGCCTGCAAGAAGGAACGCTTCAGACGGCACACCAACAACAATTTATGTGTGTGTGTGTGCAAATTACTCATCTACGTATATATATATATATATATATGTATGTATGTATGTGTGTGTACACACACATACATATATAGTGAACAACAACTCATGTTGCGCAATGTTCCTCGCTGGGTTTTGGGCCAACTCCCTACATCCTAAACCCTAAACCCTAAACCCTAAACCCTAAACCCCAATACTTCGGACAAGGCATCGTGGCCCAAGAGGTTCAGTTGGTCGATGGCTTTGGCCAGCTTGTTCTCCAACTTCTTCAAGGGCAAGCCCTGATAGTTCATGGGCTTTTTGGCATAGTTGAGGCTACTTAAGGTTTGGGTTTTGGGTTTAGGGTTTAGGGTTTAGAGTTTAGGGTTTAGGGTTTAGGGATTAGGGATTACTGAGGCTAATTAAGGTTGTTTTTAAGGCGGGACCTAAGGGGGGTAGTATTGAGTGGGGTAGTAAGGAAACCTGTGACAAGTGCACTAGGGAGTTTAGAATCTGGGGCTTAGGTTTCAGAGTTTAGGGAGTTTACAGTAGAATCTGGGGCTGAGGGTTCGGAGTTTAGGGAGTTTAGAATGTGGGGCTTCGGGTTCAGGGTTTAGGGTGTACAGTGTGCTTGGGAGTTTAGAATCCCCCAGAGCCCTGCAAGTGTGCTGGGAAGTTTAGAATCTGGGGTTTAGGGTTCAGGGTTTAGGGTGCAGGGTTCAGAATTTTTACACTCTGGGGCTCAGGGTTCAGGGTTTAGGGTGTATGGGTTCAGAGTTTAGGGCACAAGGAAATCAGGGTATCGCGGGGCCTTTTTGGGCATCAGGGCTTTTCTGCAGACAACGGCCGCCAACTAAGCAAGCATGTTGTATGCGTGGCAGGCCCAAGGACCTAACCCTAAACCCTAAACCCTAAACCCTAAACCCTAAACCCTGATACAGTAGCAAGCATCGAAACTCGCGCCGGCCTGCCAAGACTCTTTCTGGCCTTTGGGCGTCTTGTCCTCAGGCAGGTGCCATCCCTCTCTCTCTCTCTCTCTCTTGCTCTCTCTCTCCCTAAACCCTAAACCCTAAACCCTAAACCCTAAACCCTCAACCTTAAACCCTCTCTCTCTTTCGATTTCTTCCTTCATTGGGCATCTTGTCCTCAGAGAGCTGCCATATCTTCTTCTCTCTTTGTCTTGTTTCTCTTCTTGATGTCTTGCTTGATCGTCACGTCTTTCGTGTATGTCGTTCTGCCGTTTCCTTGGCTTACTTATTTATGTAGTCCTTTTTTCTTTCTATCGTTCTATCTGTCTTGTTTCTATCTTTCCTTCGTTATTTCGCATGTCTATTTCTTTCGTGTTGCTTGTATCTTTCGTTGTTTCTTCCTATGCTTCTTTAGTATTTCTGTATGTACTTCTTTCTTTCTTTCTTTTTGTATTTCTTTCTTGCGTTCTTTCTATATTTCTTCATTTGTTTTCTTCAGTACTTCATTATTCCTTTCTTGCTGTCTTTTTTCTTTGATTCTTTTCTTTATTTCCTCTCTTTCTCTCTCTCTCTCTCTCTCTCTGTCTCTCTCCCTCTCTCTCTCTCCCTCTCGCAGGCAAGCTCGGAGGACTTGGCTTAGTAGCAAACATAGGAGCTTCTACACCGCCACGGCAGCCACAGGGCCAGAGCCTCGAGCCTCGAGCCCTGAGCAACCCACGCCAGCCTGCGCGGGCTCCTTCTGCGTCTTCATGGTCTTCTCCTGGCAAGCCGCTTGGTCAAGGTGCTGACCGGACTGCCAGGATGGCCCTTAGACCCTCCTAAACCCTAAACCCTAAACCCTAAACCCTAAACCCTAAACCCCCTAAACCCTAAACCCTAATTACCCTTAATTACCCTAATTACCCCAATTACCCTAAACCTGAACATGATCCTCTTAAACCCAGTAAGGGAAAATGTAAAAACCCCCAAGGGCCTACGGAGATTGGGGCTTGAGGTTTTCGATGGTTGAATGCCGGACTCCTGCTCCGGGCCGGTATCTCAGACAGGCGCAGACCCCGGTTGCAACATGACGAAGTCCTAAACCCTAAACCCTAAACCCTAAACCCTGAACCCTAAACCCTAAACCCTAAACCCTAAACCCCTCCAAGACAAGATGAACACCACCCGGAGCCACACCCTCAGCGGTTGAAAGTGTTGTCCGTCAGCAAGAAGTCTCGGACTTCGGTCCAGGCAGGTTAAGTGGAGGCTGCATTCCCGAGCATCAAAGGCTAACCCTAAACCTTAAACCCTAAACCCTAAACCCTAAACCATTGCCACCACAGAGCCAGAGTACCTTGCAATAGCCCGTGCGTCATTGAAGTATGGAGGACACCAAACTTGCGTACGGCATGCGAAACCTTGCGAGCAAGACTGTGCCGCCCCAAACCCTAAACCCTAAACCCTCCCCCACACCCGCCTGACACTCTGCCCGCATCCGCTGGGCGTCCTGTGCAATATCCGATTGTGCTTTCTTATAGTGTTGTGGAGAATGTTCTACTATTACGGGGTCTGGCGGTTGAGGACAGTAAGGAGAAGCTGACGTCAGCTTACCCCATCTCAAGGGTAGAGAAGGGAGATTCCCTAAGAAAGACGCCGGCGCAACTGTTCAGATGCACGCCTCCCATGCCTCCACCAAAGCGACGTCAACAAACCCCGCACATGACAAGCCCTGAGCCCTGTCGGTTTAGGGTTTAGGGTTTAGGGTTTAGGGTTTAGGGTTTAGGGCTTAGGGCTTAGGGTTTAGGGTTTAGGGTTTAGGGTGCAGGAGTCCTCGTCTAGCTTGTTCAATCGCCGCTTCTCCAGCTCAAGCCTTGCCGGCTTAGGGTCTTGGTTTTTTGGGGTTTAGGGTTTAGGGCTTAGGGCTTAGGGCTTAGGGTTTAGGGTTTAGGGTTTAGGGTTTAGGGTCTAGGCTTTAGGAGCTCAGACCCCGCACAAGCCAAGAGCTACTCCCGTGCAGATCCACCCCTTGTTTGAAGTCGGACATGATGACTGCCAGCTGCCAGATCCACCTTAAACCCTAAACCCTAAACCCTAGACCCTAAACCCTAAACCCTAAACCCCGATTCCCTTAACCCCCCCTTCTCTCAAGCTGTACTCCCCCAGGGGCCAGCTACCCTCAACTGCACAGCGCCATCTCAGCACGGGGCTTTCGCGTGGTCGACTCGATCTCGTTGTGCATGCCTAGGACTTAAAATCCACACGGTTTTGGGTTTAGGGTTCAGGGTTCAGAGTTCAGGGTTCAGGGTGTAGGGTTTAGGGTTTAGGGGTGTTCAGGGTTTTGGTACGGCTTCGGAATCCGGGCTCCACGGTGAAGGGACTGAGGGCTTGGGGTTGGGGGATGCTCAGTTCTTGGTGAGATTACTTGAGATGTCGAGTTTCCGGGCGCAGGACAGCTGACAGGGGACCCACAAGGGAGCTGCGTCATCATCTGCTTTCTTGCTGCATTGCAAAGGCCATAAACCCTAACCCTAAACCCTCAACCCTCAACCCTTTCGGCAGGGTCTTTTTCTGTAGCCTGCTCGCGAGATGTATACTGAACTACGTGACTCTGAAGCCTTGGGGTTCAAGATTGCTACGTGGAGGTTCATGGGTACTTATACCCTCAATTACCGCAGCTCCCGACGCTTCCGACCACACCCGCAGGGCGGGCACTCAAATCAGGCACCTGCAAATGTAGCTCAGTCACTTTGTAGCTTAAGGTACAGACACAAGGCGCGTACAGGGAGCTGCGAAGAGTTTCCCGCTTCACTTTGCTGTTGTTGCAGCAGAGATGCGCTGTAGGTGGTCCTGTAGATACCTTGGGCTGCTCTGGGCTGGAAAACCCGGCGGAGAAGAGAAACCTAAACCCTAAACCAGCCCCACTTCTGCCCTCATCCCTAACCCTGAACCCTATGCCCCAAGCATGCAGAGGCTTGTTACACGTCCGGGGTGGGAAACTTTTTTCGAGTGGGGGGTTGCGTTCTCCAGGGTCTTGAGGGCGTCAGGTTCTAGTGCTACTATAGGGATGCAGTAGGGCTAGTAGGGTTGCAATGCGATTGCAGGCCTGCAATGTGGGTTACAGGGTTCCACAAAACGGCATGATGGTGTTCAAGGCTGATGATTCTAGCACAGTGGAGGAACGAGGCCTACAGAATCAAATCCGCGATGCGAGGTGGAACCATGCAGGTGGGGGATGAAGGGCGTCAGTAGCAGCTGCATATACAGGCCACATTCATGTCGCCTTCTGATACATCTCCGGGAGTCCTAAGCATCTGAATGACCACAAGCCCAAAACCCCAAATGCCGCAAGCCCTTAAGCCTCAGAAACCCTCAAAGCTCTGTATAGACCAGATCCTGCACCCTGAACCCCTATAACCCTAAACCCTTCTTGAATCCAAAGCCTCTCTCTCTCCCGCTCCCCCGCACTCAAGAACCCAAACCCTAAACCCTTAAACCCCAAACCCCTGAACCTAAACCCCCCAAACTCTCTAAACTTTACGTCAACCCCGCAAGCCCCGAAAGCCATGCCAGCAGGGGGGGAAGCCAAAATCTGTGCCTTCATCCCGCTGGTCGAGGAACTCGGAGATCCCACTCCACAAAAGCCATTTCACAAAAAAAACTCCCAACCCTAAACCCAAAGCCCTTTTTTGCAGCAGGTCTTGTGTTTTTTTACATTGTTTTAAGGGTGTAGGGTTTACGGGTCTAGGGTTAACCCTGAACCCCTAAACCCTACTTGGTCAACTCCCAAACCCTTCGCTGCCAGGGCACGCTTGGTGGGCTGGCAGAGCCCGCTGGGTCACCGCACGCTGTGTGGCATCGCCATCGCCGCTGTCCTGTCCAAGTCGGGTGAGATCAGCACCTTAAAAGGGACCCCCTCCCCCCCCCACCCCCCCAAAAAAAAGGGACTAGAAATAGTACAGCACCTTATAACAAGGACCCCCCAAAAAGAAATAGTACGGCACCTTAAAAAAAGGGAACATCCCTGATATCCCCTGTAAAAGCCACGGGCCGATACTTCAGCACCCTTGAACAGAAGTAAGGGACCACGTGAAGGGATCATGTAACTACCAAAAGAATCTAGCCCACAAATGTAGGGTTTAGGGTTTAGGGTTTAGGGTTTAGGGTTTAGGGTTTAGGGTTTACATGATATATCAAGTTTAAAGAAAAAAAGAGTTGACGGGGCGGGTTGACCAGCGGTGCCACGTTTGGAGCTTGGGCGCAGCCACTTGCCATCACCACCAGCAACGCGTTAAGCAAACCCTAAACCCTAAACCCCTAAACCCTAAATCCCTAAACCCATAAACCCCAAAACCCTAAACCCTAAGTCCTAAACCCTAGGCCCACACAAAGAGCCGGCGCTGCTCCCATGCCAGCCCCCGGCAGCAACTCACATGGGCCCTGAATATGGCCCCTTAGGGTACCCTAAACCGTAAACCGTAAACCGTAAACCCTAACCCTAAACCCGAAACCCTAAACCCTAAACCCTAAACCCTAAACCCTCCCCTTCGGGTACGTAGTTATATGGGCCCTTCGTAGTTATATGGGCCCTTAATGGGGTTTAGGGTTTAGGTTTTCGGGTTAGGGTCCTTGAATATGGTCCCTGGCCTCCTTGAAAGGGTTCTGAGGTGCGGGCCCTTAGTTTGTAGAGGGTATGTAAGGGGCTAGGTAAAGGGTCCCCCTTTAAGGGCCCATATCCCTAAACCCTAAACCCTAAACCCTTTTTCCATCTGTACCCTAAACCCTAAACCCTAAACCCTAAACCCTGAACCCTAAACCCTAACCCTAAACCCTAAGGGACTTGAGCACCAAACGCCCCGAGCCCTAAGCCCCTAGCCCCCTGAATGGCAGGGTCTCCTGTCGCTGCATTGCAGCGGTAGAGGGGCTGGCCTCGTTTGGGAGTGCTCCTTTGATCTGTTGAGGAGGGTTTAGGGTTTAGGGTTTAGGGTTTAGGGCTTAGGGTTTAGGGTTTAGGGTTTAGGGTTTAGGGTTTAGGGTTTAGGGTTTAGGGTTTAGGGTTTAGGGTTTAGGGTTTAGGGTTTAGGGTTTAGGGTTTAGGCTGGGAACATCGGAGGTTGCTAAACCCTAGAGTCCTATTGGCAGGATGGGGCCCGCCTTTTAGGAAGTCACAAGAGGCTAGTGGCAGCAATGCAAAGAAAGCGGCATCCGCATGGTGTGTTGGCGATAGCAGGAAGCTTCTCATAGACTTCACGACATGGAGATAGCCCTAACCCCTTTGAGCCAGGGACTATACCTTAACCCTGAGCACTAACGGCCTCAAAAACACTTGACCCCCGAACCCTAGCTCCAGCCCGCATGTGGCTCTGTGGGTAGTAACACGCGCGGTAAGAAACCTTACGATACATTGACGCCCTCTGCAACCTCTGCAGCGCTTGTCCGTGATACTCAGGCCTCTATAAGTTCCATGTCAGGGGAGCTCTCCCACTTTAAAACCCACAAGCCCCTCCAACACCTGAAGCCAAGGGCTCCGGCGTGAGGCGCCCGGTGGAGAAGCGACTTGGGGAATGAGCCGGAAGTGTCAGCTACAACCCCCCTACCCTAGGCCTGAACATGCGTTGCGAGTTACTTGCTGAGGGCAGGAAATGCTCAGAGGCAGCGGTTGTACTTTGTGTGGTGCCTGACGTCTTTGATGTCTTGAGCTGGCCGTCTTGTGGCGAGCAAGCATCCAAAGTTGCAAACTGCACTCAGCTTGCAGCACCGCACCAGACCCCGAAAGTCAAGCTAACGTCCCCGAAAGAACGCTAAACCCTACAGCCTAAACCCTAAACCTCTCACCCTTCGTGGATCAGGAGTTGCAGCATGGGCGTGGATTGAATTTTGGATTGAACCTCCTCGAGAACATCCCCAGCGAGCTACCTCCCGAGCCTCTGCTTAGGGTTTAGGGGTCAGGGTTTGTAAGGCTTCTAGGCCCGACTCGGCTTAAATAAGATCATGAGGCTTGATAAGTCTTCGTAGGGAAATCAGGCCCCTTTTGTGCGAGGTCGCATTCAGCCGTCTAGGCAGTATGGGAACTTAATGTAAGTCAACATAACAAGAAACAATCTTATACAATATACATATAGGTATAGGTACAGACACACAGAGAGACAGATACACCAATACAAGGATATAGATGTTTATTTAACCTCCCGGACAGCAACCCCCTGAACCCTCAAACCCTGAGCACCCCAAAACCTCTTAGCACCCCCCAAACCTTAAGGGTTTAGGGTTAGGGTGGGGGCTTAGGGCTTAGGGTTTAAGTTTGAGGGTTTAGGGTTTAGGGTTTAGGGTTTAGGGTTTAGGGTTTAGGGTTTAGGGTTTAGGGTTTAGGGTTTAGGGTTTAGGGTTTAGGGTTTAGGGTTTAGGGTTCAGAGAGCCCCAAACCCTCGTTGGGTTCAACTCGCGCAGGGTGGCCCAAGTGGACGTCGCTCAGCGTCCGAACGTCGCGGAAGCCAAAGCACCGGAGCATGTGCTCCTGAGGTCCCACGTTTAGGGTTTAGGGTTTAGGGTTGGATTTAGGGTTTAGGGTTCAGGGTATATATAGGGTTTAGGGTTTAGGGTTTAGGGTTTAGGGTAACTCTGAGAATCTCATGGTCCCACTTAATATGGTCCCTTGCCTCCTTTAAGGGTCCGAGGTATGGGCCCTTGGGTTGTTTAGGGTCTACAAGAGGTATTTTCGGGGTCCCCGTTTGGGGGGCCCATACTAAGGGACCATGCAACTACCTTAAGTGCGACGCTGAGTTTCAGGGAATACGGTGGCGGATGCAATGACAATCTGGCAACATATTGCTGGGAAAATGTTTATAAGCATGTCATATAACAACCCAAACAATATAATTATGTATGTAGTATTTCCCTAATTTTATACAGAGATATCAGCCCCTCCAATGTTTCTGTGGCGCTTAGGATGAACTTGGTGACTTCCGGGGTCAGGGTTGTTGGGCCTAGGTCAGGGCAACCTGGGGGAATCCAATTGAAGGCTCCAGCCACTATAGAACTTAAACATAAATACCCCAAACCCTAAACCCTCACCCTCAACCCTAAACCCCAAACCCTGATAAGGTCTTAAACGCATAATTCCCCAATGTCTAATCCTCAAGATGCGGGAAACCTGAACCCTAAACCGCACAACCAATCAAGGCAGGCCCTTCCATCATTAAAGAACAGTGTTGAGGGTTTAGGGTTTAGGGTTTCGGGTTTAGGGTTTAGGGTTTACGGTTTCGGCTTTCGGCTTTCGGCTTTCGGGTTTAGGGTTTAGGGTTTAAGCACATTTTTCGGTTTTAGGGGTTTAGGGTTGTTTCATATCCTGTAACAAGGTCCCTTCTACCAGGAGCTCACTGGCGTGCCTTCAGGCCATTTTTCACTACCAAACTCCAACACCCCCCCTGTTTCGCTCCTGCCTAAGCTTGAGGGGTATAAGGAGTGACCTAGAAAGGACCCTTAACCTTATTCCCCTATACAACCCCTATATATACCTCCTAAAGAACCCCTAAGGTCCCTTTAAGGGTCCCTACTTTGGTCCCTTGATAAGCCTGCTGACAAGCTCCTGAGCATAAGACATCAAACCTCGCATCATTACTACCACCCCGCTTTAGACTCATTTGAGTGCGGCTGGTGAAGATTAGGGTAGCTGAGCAATCCTCTTTTTCATCTGCCTGTAAGTCACCACGCAAGTAACCTCACATCTGGGTCCAAGAAGAAACCGTTCGAAACCCTAGAGGCCCTAAACTTTAGGGGTGGGGTCTTGAAGCCAAGCACCTCAACACCTCCCATCTCCCTAAACCCTAAACCCTAGACCCTAAACCCTAAACCCTAAACCCTAACCCCCCCATGGTCACAAGGCGTGGGCGTAGAAGCGCGCATCGTTCTGCGGGCCGTTGAGGCTGTAAGACGACCTTGCGGTGGGATTCTCTCACAGGATCCCAAGTTGGGGTTGGGGTTTAGGGTTTTGGGTTTAGGTTTAGGGTTCAGGGTTTAGGGTTTAGGGTTTAGGGCTTAGGGTTTAGGGTTTAGGGTTTAGGGTTTAGGGTTTAGGGTTTAGGGTTTAGGGTTTAGGGTTTAGGGTTTAGGGTTTAGGGTTTAGGGTTTAGGGTTTAGGGTTTAGGGTTTAGGGTTTAGGGTTTAGGGTTTAGGGTTTAGGGTTTAGGGTTTAGGGTTTAGGGTTTAGGGTTTAGGGTTTAGGGTTTAGGGTTTAGGGTTTAGGGTTTAGGGTTTAGGGTTTAGAGGGCGGAAAAGGCGGAGAGGGCGGGAGGAGCGGAGCGGGGGGAAGTACTGGAGCCCTTCAAATTCAGCTTTGGATGGAGCCATGGGATGGAGGTCATGGGGTCATGGGGGTATGAGGGCGTGGAGCCATGGGGGTCATGGTGCATGAGCGGGAGTGGGCGTATGAACCCATGAGACGAGGCGGGGCCCCACAGCTGATGGGGACATGGGGGGGGGGGGGGGGGGCTAGAGTGAAGAGTGGAGCCCTTCAAGTCCAGCTTCCTCAGCTTAGGCATGGGGCCTTCAAGTCCTCAGCTTAGGCATGGGGCGCCAGGGCCATGGCTCAGGCGGCCATAGTAGGGGGGGGGGGGGGGGCCATGGGTCGGAGTGGAGCCCTTCAAGTTCAGCTTCTTCAGCTTGGGATGGACGGGAGACGGGGGCGGACGGGCAGGGCCATGAAGCCAAGGGTCGGAGCGGGCGAAGCCATTGCCGAGGGGGAGGGGAGGGCGAAAGCACGGCGCCGGGGAAGAGGGGCCATGAGGCCATGAAGCCAAGGGTTTAGGATTCAGGGTTTAGGGTTCAGGGTTTAGGGTTTGGGGTTTAGGGTTTAGGGTTTGGGGAGAACAATCCCCCCATGAAAGCAGCCCCAGAGATCGGAACTCCCAGGCTAACAGGCCCCCGAAGCCAGAAACCCTAAACCCTAAACCCTAAACACCCAAGCCCTTCTGCAACTTCGACCAGGCGGCCAGGGATAGCAACAGCTCCTTGATGGCAGATCTGAAGTTGGGTTTAGGGTTTAGGGTTTGGGGTTTGGGGTTTAGGGTTTAGGGTTTAGGGTTTGGGGTTTGGGGTTTGGGGTGTAGGGTTTAGGGGGGGAAGTCTGTTGGTCTCTCGGTATTTTCGCCACCCGCCTAGCTCGACATTGCAGGCCACATTGCAGGGCACATACTGTCATGGTGCAACGCGAAAAAACTCGTGCCTTTAGGCTTGGAAGTTCAGGGCTTGGAGGGCCTGCAGGGTTTTTAAGAGTTGAGAAGCAGGGTTTTTTTTGAGCCGGTAAAGGTACCCCCCAAGTTGCTCTGGTAGCTGCTGGGAAGCCATGCCCTCAACGAGGGCCCACTGGCATATCCCGACAAGGTATCTAAAGGATGCCCAAGCTTTGGGGAAATGCCTGGATGAACCTTGCAAGGTTGAGGGTCCTTGCGCCGCAACTGCAAGGTGGATCGCTGGAGAGGGTGGAGGATCTGAATTTGGGGTTCTCATGTAGTTCCCAGAAGTTTACTTACGTGCCCGGGCCCCCGAATATTGTCCTATAGATCTGGGCGGAGGTTTACGAACATACGGGACCCCCAATATAGACCCCCAAATAGAGGATTTCCTTGTAATTAGGACCCCAATAAGGTACCCCACTTTGGGAAAATTTGCAGGTGGGGTGTTGGGGTCTGAGCTTTACAGTTTGGCGTCTTTAGGGTTGGGGTAAGCCCTCAGCCCCCTCATCCTAAATCTTTCTGTTAGCTTCATTATCGTTCCTAAGCCCGAACCCTATTCTGTTAACTTACTTCCAGCCCATTAACAAGAACCCAGTCTCTTTTCCTAAGAGTGGTCACTTTTATAAGGACGCCCCTCTAAATAGGCTCCGAAAACACCCAACCTACTGCAGCGCAGGC